AAAAAAAAAAAAAAACTTTCTGAATATTATTTCATTTGGCATAATGACCCATATACTTTAATTGGAACATTTATTTGAAATAAATAAATATGCCTTGCAAATACATCTTTGCAAGGATGTCACAGCCTCAGGGAGATTATTTTCTTAAGTATGACATAGGCACATCATTGCAGTACAAAGTAATTCATTGGTTTGTTTCATCTGTGCTTATAAACAGAAGACAATATTTTTACATGCTAGAAATAACTAACCTTTACTGAATATTTGCAACATGGCCAATATTATGGTAAGTATTTTACATACAATATTTCTGTAATTCTCACAAGAATCCTTTAGAAAGACGCCATTATTTTTCCTTTTTAAAGATGAAGAAACTTTTGAGGTTTAATTTAAGTAATTTACCCAATATCAATGAGCATTTAGTTAAATGATAACCAAAATTAAGAGGTTTGGCTAAAAAGCCCATGCTTTTAACCATATAGTGCTCTTATAGTTTAGGCCAAGATATTAACCTAAATGATAAGCCTCTCAAATCAAGTAGTTTTTTTTAAGTGCTTTGAATTTTCTTCCATTATACCAGGTCCTTTGTAATCTTTTAGCAGTAGATGGTGTTAATGAACCTGATGTCCTAGCAATTAATGGAGGTAAGTATAAAAGGAGAGTTTAAAACTATCACTGATTTTATAAAGCAGGGAAATATTTTAATGTCAGCTCTTATTTTTCTCTTCCTTTTTTTTTAAGCTTCTGTAGCCCTCTCATTATCAGATATTCCTTGGAATGGACCTGTTGGTAAGTCAGAATTTGAAAATAAGAATGTTTTTTCAGTCAATAATGGTGGCATGTTAGAACAATGGCATTCCAAGACTCCTTTCAGGTCTTTCAGACATTTTTCTCCTTACCCTGGGTTTGTTTCTAACAGCAATATGTTACGATGTTACAGATTTTATGTTCTAATATTTTGACTTCTTAATTGCCTTTTTCTGTTAGAGGACTTTTTTTTAGACTGGGAAATTGCCAGAGTGCGTACTCTTTCAGGATAAAACAAACATATAACATATACGAAACTTACAGCTCTTCCAAGTTGTAATCGTGCAATATAAAGTAATTCATTAAGTAAATAATTACTGAGTGTCCTAAATGCTAGATACTGAGGCAGGCACTGAACGAACAGAGGCAGACTAGGCCCTAGCAATACAGAGATGAAAAAGGGAGTGCTGGCTTTCAGCATAAAGAATAGAGACAGGTAATTATTTGTAAACAGTACTGTTATAAAAGCATAGTCAAAGTGCTAAGAAAATGATAGAGGAGAGCAGGTTTAGTTTTGTGGGGTCAACTTGTCAAGGAGGCCTTCTCAGAGTAGTCCACATTTAAGCTGAACCTTAGAATCAGATGTTAAGCATTTGCCTTGAAGAGAGTACAGTCTTGACCGGGAGATGTACACGAGCAGAATTACAGAGGGATGGAAGAAATGGTATATTTTGAGCAATTCAGAGTGGTGCAGTGAAGCCAGAAGGTAGGGTGGAGTAGGATGGTCTGTGGGTCTTAAATACCATGGTAGAAATATGGATTTTGTTCTGTGGTCACAATCAGAGATAGGGGATTGAAGCCATTGCTGGTATAATGTCTTGAAAACTGGGAGGTTTAGTAAACAATTGCCAATTGCCATTTTAGGGGCAGTACGAATAGGAATGATTGGTGGAGAATGTGTTGTTAACCCAACGCGAAAAGAAATGTCTTCCAGTACTTTAAATCTAGTGGTTGCTGGAGCACCTAAAAGTCAGATTGGTAAGTAGTTTAAATACTATATTTGTTCTGGATTGTACTTACAAGTTTGAGCTTCTTAAAATGAACTTTAAGATTTTGTGTGTGTGTGAGTTTGGTCAATAGCCATAAAGATTTTTGTTTTATCTCTTTCCTATTTCAGTAGTGTTTTTTATTTTATTTATTTTTTTTCAGAGATAAGATCTTACTCTGTCTCCCAGGCTTGAGTGCTATGGTGTTACCCTAGCTCACACCAACCTCAAACTGCTGGGCTCAAGCGATCCTCCTACCTCAGCCTCCTGAGTAGCTGGGACTACAGGCTCTAGCCACCATACCCAGCTTAAATTTTGATATTGCTCTGCTTCGTATAAACCAGGACCTAAAATTACAGAATGTTATATAATTTTTAATTGAAGTATATAAAAATCTTTATTTACCAAGTTAATTTCAGTAGTTATTTTTAGACTTATAACTTAGTTACTAATTTAAATAACTTAGTCTAAAAATAGAAGTTCTAAATCTGGTAATAAATTAATTGTTTTATTAGTTTAAATATTTTAATTTAGCTAACTCAGTGATTCCAAGCCTGTTTGGTGTGCTCTGAGAAAGAGGTGACCTATTTCTGGCAGGTAGAAAACTAGTAATAAAATAGAGGAAATGCACTGACCATTTCTTCACTTATTCCTTATAACATACATGTTATAATTACATGAACGAAAATCAGGGCCTCATTCTGTGGAAGGACAGTGGGCTTTAGCAGTCAGAATGACCTGGGTTTGAAACCTGGCTCTGGCACTATAACTGTGTGGCCTTTGGTAAATTATATAAGGGCTCTTCCCATCAGTTTATTTTATAGTGTAACATTTGATATTGGGGACTTTTTGACAGGAGATATTCTGATGTGGGAATATTTTGATGAAACATAAAGTAAACTATTAAACTTTTAGTGCTTTCTTGCATAAGTAATGTATGAAACACCTCATTTCCAGCTTCTACATCTGGTATGTTGGTTAGTAATGGAGTTAGAATTAGGTAATATACACAAAACATGTAACAGGAGCTATATGTTATTCACCTCTTAGTTGGGGATTGTGTTGTCAAATCAAATAACAAGGCTTACGTAAGATGGAAATTTATTTTCTCTCAGGTAAAAGAAATTGAGAGGTAGTCCAGGACAGTAATAGTGGCTCCATGATGTCTTAAGAAATCCAGATTCCTTCTACCTTTCTGCTCTGCTATACTCAAGGTGTGATCTCATCTTCACACTTATGAACTGGCCACCAGAGCTCTGGCCAACTCATCTGACTTATAGGCAGGAGGAAGAAAAAAAGAGGGGGATAGCAGAACAGCACGTGCCAGCTGAGCGAGTCTACCTCCCTTTTAAGGAGCCTTCCCAGAAATCCCCACATAGCAGTTTCCATTTATATCTCATTGGGCAGAACTGTGACATGTGACTGCACCCTTGACTGTAAGGTACCCAAATTTTTAACTTTATATAATTTTAATTAATTTCAATGCAAATAGCCATATGTAGCTAGTAGTTACTATATTGGACAGTATAAATCTATAGATGAAATACTGTTAGGAATTTTCTTATAAAGTATTTTTAAAAAGGAATTGCTTTAAAGTTTAATTAGTAAAGACAAAATTTATTTGGGGAGTATCCACTTTACCATATTCTTTTCACATTCTATTTTTAAAATCCAGTTGTTGAGATATATATTTTACACACATTAAATGCAATATTTTTTTTTAATTTAAAGAGAATATAAACCTAAATTCAAATATCAATGTTTCTTTATTCATTTACTGCTGTTTATATTTTAGAAGTATGTTGATTCTGAGGAAAGAAATCAATGTGGATGTATCACTAAGAAATAAAATTGATCTATACTATTTATGTCATATCATGGCATTTTTAAAATGTTATATTGGTAACATTGGTAAAAATAATGACAATCATTATTTTTCTTTTCTTCAAATAGTTATGTTGGAAGCCTCTGCAGAGAACATTTTACAGCAGGACTTTTGCCATGCTATCAAAGTGGGAATGAAATATACCCAACAAATAATTCAGGGCATTCAGCAGTTGGTAAAAGAAATTGGCGTTACCAAGAGGACACCTCAGAAGTTATTTACTCCTTCTCCAGAGATTGTGAAACATGCTCATAAGTAAGAACATCTGTACAAAAGAAAATATGAAATTGTCACCAGATTTAATTTTCTCTTGAGGGAAAAACGTTCCCATGGAATCATTGCCCATACATTACTTCATGAATAGCGCTTAAGTATCTATTTAATGCCTTAAGAAGAATAAATCCACATCCCTCTTCTAGGGCCTAACTTTGAGTCTCAAATTAAAGTTAGAATGTGTTTATTGGTTAAGATACAGGTAATCCCCATATCTCTCTTTGTCTTGGAAAACAGAATAAAACATAAGATATTTGAATATCTAAGGAAACTATTGGGGTTCTCAAAAAGATATCAGATATAACCACCACTACAGGGCCAGTGATTAGAACAGTGCCTGGCACATAGGTACTCAGTGAATATGAATGAGTCACTAGAAAATTATTTCATTTTATTGGAAAGATTTGGCTGGGCGTGGTGGCTCATGCCTATAATCCTAGCACTCTGGGAGGCCGAGGCGGGAGGATAGCTTGAGGTCAGGATTTCGAGACCAGCCTCAGCAAGAGTGAGACCCCTGTCTCTACTAAAAAAAAAAAATAGAAAGAAATTAGCCAGACAACTAAAAATAGAAAAAATTGGTGGGGCGTGGTGGTGTTTGGCTGTAGTCCCAACTACTCGGGAGGCTGAGGCAGGGGGATCGCTTGAGCCCAGGAGTTTGAGGTTGTTGTGAGCTAGGCTGACGCCACGGCACTCTAACCCAGGCAACAGAGCGAGACCCTGTCTCAAAAAAATAAAAGAAAAGAAGAAAAGGTTAATATTTTCCCTTAATGTCAGTCTCATTTATCAGTCAGAAATTAAAGAATTGTGTAAACTGTCCCCAACAAAAGAGTTTCCTATGATAACTGAGCCAAAGTGGACAGAATGGAAGAAAGCAAGAGGTTAAAATCAAAGTGCATGTGAAAAGAAAAATCTAAGGTGGAAGTAACTGAACAAGTGAATATAAGAAGGGTGGGGCATAGCATCATGTGTGAGTGATTCCCC